CCCCGCAAGCCCCCCGGCACCCAGCTCCCGCCCCGGCGGCAGCCACGTGGCCCCGCTGGGGCCCCCCGGGGTTCCCCTGCACCACGTCACCGCCCGCGTCACCGAACCCCAGCGCAGCGCAGAGGACCCCACCGCGCCCTCACCTGCCCGTAAGGGTAGGTCGCCATAGCGCTCGCCACGGCCGGCCCCGCCCCTCGCCGCGATTGGACCCCGCCGCCCCACCCACGCCGCCCATTGGCTCCGCGGGGCGCCCATCCCGCTGCGTTGCCGGGGTGCGAGGCACGTGGTGCGGAAGTGCCGCCTGGGTGTCTTAAAGGGCCCGCGCTGCTGCGGCCTGGTGGGGTGGGGGGTTTTTAGATGGCCTCTGAGGGAGGTTGGTAGTTGCAGTTGCTCAAGGGGAGTCTGGGACATGCTGGATCTTCTTAAAAGAGGTGGAAAACCTCCTCTCTGGCTGAGTCTTGTTGGCCCGGGGCAGCGTGCATGGAAGTGAGCACCGTGCAGAAACACTGCGTCTGTCCAGATCTGCCACTGTGGTCTAGGCTGCGGGGCTGGGGAGCATTGTGCTCCTGCCACCCGCGTTCAGATCCGTTCCTATCACTGGCAGGGGTCATTTATCAACCAGTGGCATCCCCGTCTTAAACCTCGCTACGCTAAACTGCAATTCGTTGTCAATGGCTCGTTAATAAAAGGGGTGGCAAGGGTCCGAATGCCTTTCTTAACAGAGATGACATATGGAAAGCAAGAGGGTCCCTCAGTGCAAAGGGAGCCTCAGATCCCAAGCAAAGATTCGTGATGAACGCACGCGCCGAGGGCCTTGTCTGGGGTCCGGCTCGGTTCCTTCCTGCTGTTGGACCAGAGCCAGCAAGGGACCTGCGCAGACAACCGTCTCCATCCGTGCGTACGGACTGTACGGGTGGAAAGGCTCGTTCATCCTAAAGGAGCGGTGGCCAAGCTATACAGAGCTGCGGTGAAACGCAGGCACGTCTTGGATTCCAGTGTTAAATCGGGAGGTCCGATAGAGCTGGTTGCACAGCTGCATGGTACCGGGCTCCGCTGGCAGCAAGATTACCCAGGGTCACGCCGGCTGGGACCGGATGGAGGTCCCCCGCGTGAGCGGTTCTGCCGTTCTTCTCCCCCCCTAGTCACGGTCACAGTTTTCTTGTCATCAGCCAGCGCAATGCATGCGTGGAGCAGGCAGGTTTCTCGAGGGTGTTTGATTTAGCCAGCTGGCCTTTTCAGGAGGGACGTTGTGCATAAATACCACGGGTGCTGGTAACAAATAATGCCTTTAAGGCCCTGCAAGAGAGTCTGCTTGCTTTTAATGGAAAAAATGCTTGGAAGCCAGTTGCTGATCCTACTCTCAGCTCCTGCTTCCGCTGTGAGCCCAACCATTCCCTGGGACTGAAATGGGAATGACCAAGGAAGGCGGTGATCACGGGGTTTGGTACAAGAGGAAGAGCAAGCATCAGAAATCGCCCAACAAAGGAAGGCTGGCTTGTGTTTAAGACATCTGACCGGCACCCACGTCTCTCAAGTTCACAAACAATGCTTCCCTTCCTGACCTATACCACAGAGTCACGCGCTCGTGCGAAGGCACTCGCATGCGGTGCGCACACCTACTCAGACGTTGCTTTTTCTTCCACTGTTGTAGATCCTGGATGTTCCACTGAGAAAACCAGCCGGTAGGGTGTAGTCCAACCCTTCGAGGGCTGTCCATCACCGGTACGCATTTTCCAATGCGAGGGTTTATATAGATTTATTTATGCTTGAAGGATGCGCTGGCAGAAGCTCAGCTCTTTCTTCAGTTGTTCTTTTGAAAGGACCTACGCAAGACTGTTAAAATGTTGCTAAAGAAACCAAAAAAAGACAAAGCTGTGGGCTGGAACGAAATTTATTAGTTCTGCCTTGTTTGCTCAACCTGCTTTGAGGAGGAAAGCAAAATCCTTTGCTGGGATACAGATCTGACAAGTTGAAACCAATTGCTCAGGTGTTGTCTTTGAACATCTGAAACAGGGGAAGCGGCAGCCATTAGCAAACCAGTTGTTGTGTCTAAAGCTCAGACGCTTGTTTTTCAAGTGAAGGGAGAAAGCCGTGCTTTGCATTCACGGCTAGCGAGCTTCCACATGGATCCGCAGCACGGCTACAAGAAGAGCCACTGAAGTCTGGCAGAAGGCGCCAAAAAGTGGCTTGCTTAATTCAGTCTGTTGAGCTGAATTTCTCCCTCGTGCTGCACCCCAGTGAAAGGAGCAAGACTTGGAAATGAGCTCTCCACAAGGCACGAGCCATGCTGGTGCCGGACAAGATGGCAGATGGCTTCCAGAGGTTAGTAAAGATGATGCTGGCTTGTTACAAATGAAAAGAGCAGCGGAGTATGGAAGGCGACACACATGGGAAGCACATGGGGTAGCGGGCTGGCCTGCTCGCTCCTGAGAGCAGGGACCTGGCCATTTAACGGCAGGACCTACAAGCCTGCATGCAGTTCCAAGCGCGTGTCATGGCCAAGTTGGCTAGGAGGCAAGGCTTTTATTCTCCCTCCACTGACTTCAAGTCCCAGGGCCTAAAGTGCGGGTGGTGGGAAGGGATTGAAGAAGTAATGAATGAAACGGAGTAAGACGGGAGGCCTCCGGAGGTGGGGGTTTGTGCATGGCAATGAGAAGCAAAAGGCACCATCATGAAATGTATTTTGGCTGGCCACACATGACAATTCCCTTTAAAGACACGAGAAGAGACGTACATACACCCGCAAATGCCGTCGGGGGAGGTTTGACCCCACTGGAAAAACCAAAAGGAGAAAACCAAAATATTAACAGCAATAAAAAATACTTCACGACCAGTCGCGAGGACTAGAGCTTTGGCTGTCCCCAATGGAGTCCTTTGTGCAAACACCCTGCCGCTTTACTCAGCCTAAAGGTCCTTTCATGTTTTTGGGCTGGTACATGGGCTGCTCCAAGGACATCATGCTGAAGCAATCCGAAGGGTTACAGTGGCCAGTCTTCCCAGGTTGCCCTGTAGCGCCCGGTGGTCCAGGAATGCCCGGAATACCTTGCTGTCCCACCGGCCCTGGCGGACCCATCTTGCCATATCCTGGTGGCCCTTGGGGACCTGAAGGAGAGAGACATGAAAGAGAGGTGAAGAGGAGGCCAATTTGTCCAAGACTGGATGAGGCCAGCTGGGCCACCACAGTGCGGAGGGTATGGATGGACTGGGTCTGGTCTGTGGTTGACATCACTTGGAAGAGCCATGCCAGGAGCAGACTTCTCTGGGACTTTTCTTTTCATGGTGCTCCCTGGCCCTGCAGTGGGAAGAGCTCACCAGCGAGTCCCAATCCAACAAGCTTCCCATGCCAAATGCAAGCAGAAGGTGCTTACCTGGTGGACCCGGCAGGCCACTATCTCCCATCGTGCCAAGGCCGACCTCTCCCTTCTGGCCCTTTGCTCCTGGCTCACCTGGGGCAACAGAGAGCCGTGAGAAATTCCAGGCAGAGCACCGCACGGATGTAGGGCAATCGCATGGGACTCAGCATGAGCGATGGGGTCGGGAAGACAGAGCAAACCTGCCAGTAGCCACTGCAGGCACTGACTAGGGGGGTGGGATTTGTTTGCTTCTGCCTGACCCTTGCAGCCACAATCATCAGGAAGCAAAGGGAGGGAAGAAAGGGGTCCCAGAAGAATGGTTACCTCTCATGCCTGGCACGCCTTGTCGCCCTTCTCTCCCGATCTGTCCAGGAAGCCCAGGCGATCCAGGAGGTCCTGGCCGCCCTGGCAAGCCGTCTTTCCCAGGAGGCCCTGGTCTTCCTGGGGAGGCAGCCATCTCCACAGGGAACTGCATCCTGGAGGTGTAGTATGCCATCCTCTCTGCAGAGAGAGACAGGGTCAGCCCAGCTTCCCCAACGTGGATGTCCTCCTCCATTTGGAGGGCAAACCCCAGGCTCCTAAGAGAGAGGGCAAACACGCTGCCCACGTTGCACTGCAGACCTTGCAGACCCCAATTTGAAGGTATCGTTGCCTTTACAAGGATGAGGGGCCAATGCCACCCCTCTGGGCTTTAAACATCCGGGCCCAGGGAGTGCAGGTCATTTCAGACCCGATGCTCTGACCCCCGAGTTGCTGCGTTCAGCCCCACACCTCTCTTTTCCCATTCCCCCAGTGCTGATTACCGTCAAACATTTTGGTCAGCTCCTGGCGGATGAACCTCTTGATTTCATCATAATTCACCACGTCTCCCTGGAGAAAGGGGATGATGGGAAAGGAAAACATCAAGCAAAATTCATCCGCTCTCCAAGCT